ATGTGCTCAGAACAAAAGCCAGCCATGTGTCTGTCAACAGAGGCCTATGAATACTGTGCAGAAGTACATAGGCCCTACTATTAGCTTGATGACTCAGGGTACCTTTCCTCCTAATCTTCCTCTCACTATTCTTGGGACTGTGCCTGAAACTCCACATTACCCCATTACTCCATTTGACTTGCCAGCACTGCAAGGCTCTACTTAAAACAGGATAATTAGAACATTATCAATCGCTAGCAACTTAACTCTATTTTAAGTAACTATTCTCATTACAAAAGTTACAAAAATTCATTATAGACAATTGAGAAAATACAAAAATGCTCTCCAAAGAACATAAAACCACCCATAATCAAGGTGCTTTAAAAATATCAATATGTTGGGAACCAGCAGTTAGCGTAATGGCTATGTTGCTGGATTCCCACGTAGTCGATCGCAGTTCGCGTCCTGGACCCGGTGGCTTAAAACTCATGCCAGGCGCGTGTGTGTGTGTGCCCAAGATCCCGAGAGGAGAATGGAGGAGAAGGGATTGTGGCGTGACCATCCCCCCTGGGGGGTGATTTCTCGCTTTCTGTCTCTATGTCTGTCTGTCTGGCGAGCGCACACGCCCTATAGCGAAAACCTCTCAAAAAAACCCAACATGTTATATTGCATTTCCTACTGTTCTTTTTTTTTGCTAGGCACAAATATGCATTTTTTTAAAGAGAGATTTTTGCTATAGGACATGTGTGCTTGCTGATGAGACAGAGAGAGACATAGAGACAGAAAGCGAGAAATCACCCCCCAGGGGGGATGGTCACGCCACAATCCCTTCTCCTCCATTCTCCTCTAAGGATTTTGGGCATGCATGCACATGGCATGAGTTTTAAGCCACTGGGTCTGAAACTTGAACTTTGGTGGACTATGTGGAATCCAGCAACATAACCATTATGCCATCTGCTGGTCCATATATATACATTTTTTTCCAGAAACACAGAATCATACTTTCCATACTCTCTTTAATCTGCTTTACTTCCTAATATATGTAGAAATACTTCCATATGATTATTATACCACAACATGAGTTTTTATTATTACAAAATGTTCTATTGTAAGGAAGGACAATAATTAATGTCTTTTGGGGAATGTTTGCATTATTTCATCTCTGACAGGTTTGTGAGGTACATTTTTTTTTGGGGGGGGAAGATTTTTGCTGTAGGGTGCATGTGCTCACCAGAGAGACAGAGACAGAGAGACAGAAAGCAAGAAATTATCCCCTATGGGAATGGCCATGCCGCAATTCTTTCTCTATTCTCCTCTTGGGATTTTGGGCATGCATGCACATGTGCCTGGTGTACTTTAAGTCACTGGGTCTGGGACTCAAACCATGGTCGACTGCATGGGAGTCCAGTGACGTAACCATTATACCATCTCCTGGTCCCATGAAGTACATTCTTTTTTTTTTTTTTTTTTCTTTTTGGTAAAGAATAATTTCATTTAACTTTATTTATTTTAATTTGACCAGAGAAGGAGAGAGAGAGAGAAAGAGAGAGAGAGAGAAAACAAACCACCAGGTCAGGGACTCAAATCACAGTCAGCCATGTGGGAATCTAGCACCCTTACCCACCATGCCACCTGCTGGCCCCAATGAGGTACATTCTTAAAGTTAAAATTCTGTATACATCAGGGTTTATTTCCTTAGAAAATAATCTTAGGGCAGCCAATAGGTGGCCTGGTGGGTAAGGTTCTGGACTCCCACAAGGCCGACTACAATTTAAATTCCGGACCTAGTGACTTGCTTTCTCTCTCTCTCTCCCTTTCTCCAGTAAACACACATGCCCTATAGCAAACTTTAGGATAAATAAATAATAAACATTTAAAGAGAAAGAAACTAATCATAAGAAAGAAACAGTTGGGTACAAGGATGTAAATATTTTTAGGGTCTTTTTTTTATACATATAATGCAAACTACCCCTTAGAAAAATTGCACCAAATCATATTCCTAGCAATAGTTGTAAGTGTAATTCTGTTTTGATGCATCCTTACTATGTTCCTTGTAATAAAAAACAAAAGTCAGTTTGGTAGATGAAAATATGTACCTATTAATTCACTTCTTAGCTGAATCTTAGTTCAGAATACAGTTCAATACATCTGACTAGAGTAGTGAGGGCAGAAATAAAGAAGAGGAGGAAGGCACAGGGGATTGTTAGTGTATTTGACAAATAAAGTGTAAATATGATATTGAAAGTTGTATTTTTTTTTGAGAGTTTTTTTGCTATAGGGCACGTGCGCTCGCCAGCCAGCCAGAGAGAGACACAGAGACAGAAAGCGAGAAATCACCCCCCAGGGAGGATGGCCACACCGCAATCCCTTCTCCTCCAGTCTCCTCTCGGAATCTTGGGCTCTCACGCACCAATGCCTGGCGTGAGTTTTAAGCCACCGGGTCTGGGACATGAACCGCGGTCGACTACGTGGGAGTCCAGCGACATAGCCATTACACTAACTGCTGGTCCCGAAAGTTGTATCTTTTCAAGTTGAAAAATCTAGTTCATAAATTTTCTGTCATAAACTGTGGAGGAACTTTCGAGTAAGGGGCACCAATAAGTAAGCGTCCAGTATTTCACTTCTTTTTCCCCTAAGAAGAAAGGCCCAGTGGGTCTTCCTTCTCCCCCTCCCTTCCTAGATCAACTATCACAATTCAGTTCAATTTGCTCTAAAGACCACTGGATATGTACAAGGAAGATCAATTTTATTATCTTTTCTAGAGGGTTCAGGCATTCACTTGAGATAGAGAAAGAAGTGATAAAGCTCTCCCCTCATGGAAAATAATCACACTGCAGTTTTCTCAGGATTTTGGGCAGCATGCACACACACACACACACACACACACACACGTCTGGTGTATTTAGCTGGATCCGGACTTGAACTGTGTTATTAGCCATGTAAGATTCAGTCCTTAACCACTATACTCTCACTGGCCCAGAGGATGAGTTCTTTCCAGGCAATGTGGCTTTAGGCACATCTAACACTTCCGTCCTCTTTCCAAATTAAGAAAGTAAGAGTAACATCATCTCATCAACATTACCTACCTTGAAGACTGACTGTGGAATTAAATCAAGTCACAGATATGAAATTATTTTGTTAACCTTAAATTCTACAAAGGAGTGTGGAATTAGTTTTTTAAAAGAATTATGTGTTTATTTAATTCCATTTATTATTTTTCCTCAGATTTGACCAGAGAGAGCCAG